ATGCCAATGAGCATGTCTATGGAAATGTCGATGCCAATGAGCATGTCGATGGATATGTCCATGTCCATGTAAATCCCACTACAATTTTGGTTTGTGCATTATAGAGAAAGCTCTGCGCAAACAAGCGATCGATGGACGAATCGACGGATGAATGAATCATCGCAAATAAACAATTGATCGATTGCTCATCCTCATCCTCTCCTCAGTCCTCCACCAGCGAGCATAACGAGAATCGTGGGGACGTTCGGATGGAGAGCGAAAAGAAACACGTCTTCTTAATTCAAAAAATGGAAGAAGTGAATTAATGAGTCAATATATGGCTTTGTGAAATAAAGTATTAAAATGAAACGTTTAGTTTAASAGTGATTGCATTTTGYCCTGTCCTCTGCTGTAACATTAAAAAGTATACGTTATGGTTTTGTATTCTAAACTGTGATTGCTTCTTTGGTGTATAGATGATGAGCTGTATAATTTTGTTCTAGTCGATCAATGTATGTTCTTCTACTTCGTTTCGATCCCGACATTTTGAAACCGTTCATTTTATTTTGATTCCTCCGTCCACGCCGTTTTGTTCGGTGCAAGACAATCCAACCTAGCGTCACGTCACCGATCGCCTGCTCGGCATAGACATTTCGCGCAACAAAACCGGGCCATCCGCATCAACAAAGGATTGAACAGARGWTGCGGTAGATTCTGGCGCCGAAGTTACTGTTGCATCGTTTACGAACCCCAGTTGTGGCAAAGCGCTGTACGACGATGTCGTTTGGCTCGTGCCACTTATGCAWAGACCATACAGGGCAGAAATAATTACCAAAAAYACAAACAGCAGTACCATACCACTCCATTCCAGCTGGGAAATAAGGTACCAGTTCAAATATATCCCCACCAACGGAAGAAAYGGACAGAACGGAACCTTGAAGATGTCGCCGGCGATGGTAGAACGGTTGCTGATAGTGTTGCTTTGGTCGCCGAGGTCTGCCATGTCAACATTGCTATCGTGGTGGTGCATCTGCGAGAACGAGGCATCCCCAAATGTCCCGCCTGCCGGAAACTGGCTGTGCAAACCGGCCGCATAGCCTAGAGTCAGCGCAGCGGCCCCGATCTGGATCGACCAGTTCGGGGACGATAAAGAACCAACGTGGGACGTCAACCCCGCCGCCAGYGCCACRAAATGATAGCACCCTAGGTGCATCGGTAGCGGCCAGCGGCCGCGACAGACCCCATAGGGGTTGGGATCGGGATAGGACGACGAAACAATCCCATTGGCTTCGTCAATGGCGGTCACAACTTCTCCCTCGTTTGTGTGTGTCTGAGAATGAAASTCCGTCATTCCACCGTCCCTCCTGCTCCCCAATTTATCACTGCTACTAGCGCAACTGCTGCATCTCATAGTGATCAGGGCCGTGTTCGTCATATTGAAGGCAAACAAAATCCCGACCGAAATTGCATCGTCCATCCATGAAAAGGGTACAAAGGTCGCCAACAACGTCATGGGAATTCCGCAGAGAATGCTAGACCAGAAGAGGTTTCCGTCCCGTCCCGAMCTCCGGCAAAATATCTCCGGTAGMAACCCATCCCTCGCCATGGCTGCGCAGAGCCGGGGCTGGGCCAGCAGGGAGATGAGGACTACTACCGGTAGCGTTACTACCTCTCCAAGGGCAGTGAGATTTGCGAGGAAGGGGTAGCCCAGCGCGCCAAAGGCATTGGGAAACCCGCTCGTGTCGCTGATTTCAGTGTACGGGAGCATCCCGCTCAGCGCGATCGATGCCAGGATGTAGATACACGTGACGATCGCCAGCGTGTACAGGACCGCTCGGGGCGTGTCCCCGGGATTTTTGGCTTCCGATGCCAGGCAGCAGACCTCATCGAAGCCCAGATATCCGAAAAAGCTGCTGGTGGCCCCCCGCAGCACCCCGGCGACACCGTACGAGGTTCCATCGAACGGCACGAGGATCGGGGTTGTATTKGATGCCGAAAAGAAGCAAAGGCCGCCGATTACCATGATTCCCACAAGCAGCAACTTGGTGACCGTAAAAAAATTGGTCACCCTCTTTGACTCCTGCACCCCACAGGCCAGGACAACGACCGACCCGAGAGAAATCAACCCCGCCAACGGATTGAAAAAGGCCTCGTGCTGACCGACGTGGTCGACTTCCTCCCCATGGCGGAGCTTGGCCGTCCACTCCAGGACCTTGTCGCCCCAGGATCGGGCCACGGCCGCCCCGGACACYCCGTACTCAAGCGTCAGACAGGCTGCCGCTAGAACGGCCGCATATTCCCCCATGGACACGTAGGCATAACTGCAACGCAGGAAAAACGAAACAGAGGAGAAAACATCAAATAATAGGGAGTATTGTTGTGTGTGCAAGTGCATGTGAGGGATAGACGGTAATGCATCGTTTGGTGTCGAGTCTTGTTCCGTTTCGAACTTTATTGCATCGCATCGCATCGCATCATCAACTGCCCACTGGCCAACTGACCAATACCGCAACACGCAACACCCAGCACAGCATTACACTGCTCTTTCAACGCAACGCAACGCGACGTACGTGTAGGTCGATCCCTCGATGCGGGGCAACCGGCCGGAAAACTCGGCAAAGGAAATCCCMGAGCACAGGGCGGCCAGGCCGGAAATGGCAAAACTCAGAAACGTCGCCGGGCCCGCATAGTGGTTGGCAATGTAGCCTGCCAGGACGAAGATTCCCGATCCCACCGTCCCGCCCACCCCTACCGATACTAGGTCCCACAGCGTATAAGAGGGCTCGGCGGAGGCACCACCGGGGTGTTGTYGTTCTGTTTCTGCTTGTGTGGGTGTGCTTGTTYCCCGGTCGCTTCCACCGTAGTAGCTATGCTGCTGCTGGGACAGGATCGTTGCCATGGATTTTCGGTTCCATGGTCCGTGCACGAGGTGAAGCAGTGGCCGTTCCTGCGAGTGGGGGGATGCGGAACCGTTGCTGCTGCGTTTGCTTCCTGTCGCAGACGGTGCTTTCGGCAATTGGCGCATCTTGAAGGAATGGAAGAAATGCTACCYTCGATTTTCGTTTTTCTTTAAGATGTTTGCTGGCTCTCGAATTGCATTGTTCGATCGAATGTCCTTTCCTTCGCACAGATCCCTTTGACAGTGGATAAAAAAGAAGAGCAAGAAGAACGGCGGTTCTTGGTTTCTAWTCTAAGCTGTAGAGCTATTGAGACATCAAAGAATAGACCCAGAATTGTATGATTGTGTTATTACGGAGGCACCGACCCAAGGGTACGAAAACGTATGAAAAAAGAATGGATGCCTCGGGAACTTCCGAGACTAAGAATCGGTAGATGAGAGTAC